ATAACAAAAATTTTTTTTTCCGGTCTACTCAAAGCCTATTTATTGCACATACATTCTTGATAATAAAGTATTAATCTTTGGTGTTTTTTTTTCCCACTCACTTGGTCGCCTGGTATGTTGAAAACCTTTCGCTTGCGGGGATAGGATAGGAGTGGAAAAATTTGAGAAAGCGATTGTGTGGCTCGATTTTAGGATGCAAAGTTCAATGCTTGCTTTCTTGGAACAAGTCAAGACAAGGGATTCTTTCTTCTTTAAAATCAAGAAAGTTATTGGTTACAAAGACTTGGAATCAACCAACCAATCTCATGTCATCGGCTACTTTCTCGGTTTTCTCTTCTCTATATGATTTCAAAGGAAAATTAAGTACCATGCACTTGATTAAATGCTAAGAATTGATCATTATGTGTATATACAATTATAGGTTTTGTTGGATGTATGCTTAAGGTCCAGCCTATAAATTGATGACCTTAGCATATAACCTAGTAAAAAATTAATTAAGAAAATAATTAAATCAAAAGGGACTAAATCAAAAAGAAAAGAAAATTAAAGGGCAAACCATGGTGTGTGGTGGTGGAAAAGGAAAAACAAAAAGGACAAGTTAGATCTCGTGATGCTTACCAAAATATAGGTGTAAAAAAAAAATTCTTTTCTTTGATTTTTCCAACCGACATGGCATAAAAGAAAGCGAGAATATTTTATGCATAAAATATTGAAACTCTTTCTATCATTAATTTTTGAATATTATAATCACAACGATGTCAAAGCTCTTTGGATATTTATGTAAATTAAATATAGAAACATAATTCGGTGACCATTATCAAACTAAAGACTTCGAATTATTTGATTTTAAAAGTTTAAGATAGAGGATTTACTTTATTATCTTGATTTGTTTGATCCAAGTAAGTTAAATAAAGCCAAATTAGAATTCAAGATTGATGATACTTGAAAAAATGAGTTTAAAAAATCTATTAGAGATATCGGAAAATGTATGAATGTTATTAGGTTTCACCACGTATTCAAAGAAACAAATGCTCAATAATTATGGAAAAAAAAACAACTAAAGAGTATGTATGAAAAGAATATTGCATAGAATAAAGCTTCTTTGATTAGAAGCATGTGAATTTAATATACAAAGATGGAAGGTTTATTGCTTTAAATTTTTTATTGATTAGTTGATAATCGATAAAATAGTGCTAGATGATGAGTTACAAATATTATTTCTATTAAGGAATTTGATAGCTAGCTAAGAGACTATAATTATGATACTAGATAATTTCGCTTCAAATAATGTTTTATCACTATCCACAATGAAAGATAGTTTATTCAATAAAAGAAAATGAGACAAAATAAAGTGATAGTAGATAATACACATGCTCTTGTGAAGAAGAATAGAGAATATAGAGAGAAGTAGGAATAAATAATTTAGTAGGCATGATAAATCTAGAAATAGATCATTGTCTAATGGCATTTTTAAATGTTATAATTGTAAAAATGAATGTCACATCAAGAAAAATTGTAAGGCATGAAAATAAAAACAAAACAAATTGGAGAATTAGGTTGAAGATAATAAGAACATCATTGCGAGCATTAATTTTTAATTGAGATGTGGCGATGCTCTTATATGGAGAAAATAAATGTGATATTATAGATCTTTGTATTGAATGGATTGCTAACTTAATGACTCGTATATGATGCTACCTCTAGGAAGGAATTATTTATCGTGTACAAAGCATGAGACTTTGATAGAGAAAAGAGCAATAATAGTTATGCTAGTGTTCTAAAAGCTTATGATGTGCATGTAGAGTTATGTACATGTTGTACACCGATTTTAAAGGATGCAATGCATGTACTAGATTTATATCCGAATCGATTTCTACTCATATTTTGAACATAGTTGGATACTACAATTAGTTTTGTTATGGAAGATGAAAATTCACTAATTGATCGATAGTTGTTGCTAGAGATAATATTTATGATAAACTATATAGTACAAAAGTATAGACAATCAACTTGAGAACATTGCAATCGGATATATAACCTTTTTAAAGTTATGGTCTAGACGATAGACTCAAATGAATGAAAAAAATTGACAAATAAGTCTTGTGTTACTTTTGCCAAAGAGATTTCCACACATGAATGAGTATGAAATGAAGTACATAAAATCGATACTAAGCCAATAATTGATAATGAAAACACGAAAAGTGTCGAATAGGGAGAGTAAGATTCTCCATTTCATAATATAGAACCTTAAGTGAGTAAGTCCGTTGGTCGGTATCATTTTTTTTAATTAAGAATACTAGTTTTGATAATATCTTATTGATGAACGAAAGAGAGTTAATTAGCTATCATAATATTTTAATTTATGTTAAGGGTTAAGAATTAAAGTTTAATGGTTGATATGTCATTGGTTTTGTGAGGTAATAGAAAAACAATTAATGAACCCTAGATAATGAATTGGTATTTTTCTCTCATGGATTGGAGAGGGAGATTTGTTGGGTGTATGCTTAAGGTCCACTCCATGAGTGGTTTTAGCATATCTCATTAAAATTAATTAGAAAAGGATTAAATAGGAGAAGGACTAAATTGAAAAATAAAAGGAAAATAAAGGGCAAACCGTAAGCGTGGAGTGGTGGAAAAGGAAAAAGTTTGATTTGTGATTTTCCTTTTTGTTTATGACATTGCCAAGAGACACTGCTCCTGTTTATATAGATGTATAAGGAAGTTGGTCTTTAATTTGGTCTGTACAGTGGCCGAAATATAGGTGCAGGAAAAAGAAAAGGCAATATTTTCTTTAATTTTGCCGATTGACATGTTACAAAAGAAAACAAAGATTTTTTATGCGGAAAATTTTGAATTTTCTTTCTACCATGGAATTTTGGACATTACAATTATAAAAAATTATGGTATTTTAACATGATGATCTCATATAGTATTATCTTTTGTAAAAATATATAAATTTTACATATTCTAAATTTTTGTGACAAGATGTATTTAATTAAAGCAATAACTTATATTATTGTCACTATTTTTGCTTATCAAATTCAAAAAAAAAAAAAATTGAGTAATTATATTGCTTTTTTAATTTAATGGATTATTTCAAAATTTATCAAGTGGTTTTTTTTCTTATGATAGCGGATTATTTTAAATCAATTTAGTGTTCTTGTAGCTATGTTCTTATGATTGATTTATTTTATAGTTTTATTTTGACTTAAATTATTATTGTGTGTTTTTGACTTGAATTAATTTACAAAAAATAGGATTAAACTCCCAATAGGTTCAAATTTTGGGTTGAAATTTACTATAAAGAATTTGGGAATGATTCTCCCTATCTCTTTAAACTATCTATCTCACCCCCAATTGCAATATTTATTTATATAGTGGGACATTCATTTAAAAAGGGAAAAAAAAAGAATTCTCAATTTAATTAACCACTATGGTCATGTCTCATTGAGGTATTCAAACTCAATAGTGAATTTATAAAATTTAATTAATTTTGTTTTGCAAGTCCAAACTCTGGCAATATTTAAAAAAAGGAAAGAATACAATTAAATTTAACCTCGTCCTACAAGATTCATGGCGGATCCATATGCATGGCTGTTATTAGTGTATGGCACAAAATCTTGAAGCTAAAACCATCAAATTAAAAAAGGACAAAAAAAAAAAAAAAAAGATGCAGCGTGCCGCACACCAAGTTTGTCATTTTTTTTTTTTTTATTTCTTTCTAACAAGAACTTACAAGTTCGCAGCATGATCATAACAAATAAAAGAAACTAAAGAGGAATTAAAAAAAAAAAAAAGGAAAGGAAAGTAATGAAAAGTAATAACTGGAAAGGGAGAGTTTTTGCCCAAAATGAAAAAACAAGAAAGTGGGAAAGAAAAAGGAAAAGCTGGTTAAGAGTAGGTAGGACAAAGGAGATCACTGATCACCTACCAATTCAAAGGAAATGAGAAAAAGCTTCCACAGCCTCAGCCTTAGTACTTATACTGAGACTAACACAGACTAGCAGTCTCCTTCTCTCCATGTATATACTTATTGCAGAGTTTGTACTGCTGTAAATTATGTATTGTTTTTGTAGCTGGATCTGTACTCACTAGCAGCCACTCACTGACCACATATATATACAGCAGTGACCACACCACATTGTGTCTGTTAAGGAGGAGGATAAAGGCTAGTTTTTTTTTTTTTTTTTTAGCTTGCTTTTTATCTAGCTTTTTCACGTTTTTTAAAGCACATCCTAAAAGGTTGCTTGACTCCCATAAACAGTAATGCAGAGATGCCCTACTTGTGTTTCAGCACATAAAAGATGTAACCTATGTCTAGAAGAGAAATCCCTCACCTATCTTCTAGCTAGCATAAACAATAAAGAGAAGAGAGAGAGAGAGATGCTAGGGTTTTGAGCCTCCCTGTGAAGACCTTTTTCCAGGTAATACAAAAGTCTAATATTTTTCTTCATATATAAATTGAAGTGCATCAATCAAGCCAAAATATAAAACATGAGTTGTAAACTTCTTCGTGACAACGTTAAACATTGTAGCAAATGTTAGAACTTAAGCAGATCAAACAATACGCAAGATCCTAATCATAATATATAGATCATGGTCTGTCCCACTTTATTACACGGTTAGAACAAGCCAACAAAGTATGACAACTGCAATATTGTATGTTGATATATAGTGCTGAACAAAAGCCTTAAGAAAACTCGTTTGTTGCTATGTTTCTCGACTTTTGATAAGAAACAAGATAGATCATAGGCAAAACAACACGAAGATCTTAAAAGCAGGGAAATTAATAATGTTAAAGAACTGACACCGATCAGAGAGAGAGAGAGAGAGAGAGAGAGATTTAATTAATAAAACAGGACTATGTACTGCACTGTTTTGGCATTGCTATTAATTAGTTTAAGAACAAAAGGGAAATTATAAGAAGCTGTGTTTAGGTTTAGGTGATCACACATATATCAAAAAACATCAAAACCAAAACTAGACATGTTTCTTTGAATCTAATATGAAAGCTTCAGAGACAAATCAATAGAATTAGAAGCATTAGATGCACTGTAATCAGAATAAGTTGTAAGACAAGAAGCTTCACCAGTAGCTACTGCAACTGAAGCTTCCGCAGTAGGAAATTCCATCTCCTTGAAACAAGTGCTTTTACCATTTTTCCCAGGGAAAAACTCATATTCCATGATAACTTTTCTACCCCTTGGATTATTACCCTTCCTGTGAACTGCCGTCACCTCTACACCCTACAAAACCCTCATAAATCACCAACCAATCAAGATTCAAACAAATTAAAAAACAAATATATATATATCACCAACATTACATTTTTATGTCTCTTTTTATTAACCAAATAGAAGCATGGTTCCAAAATAATATATATCACTTAAAAGAAAGATGGAGGAGTTTTACCTCATTGTTCTTGTGGTTGTGATTGGCAAAGAAGGCACTGTTTGCAGCTCTGGCACTGAATCCACCCATCTGTCCACAGAAATTAAAATAGCAAAAAGGATTTTTAACAGAGTTAACAAATTGAAAATCCAGACTGCGAGAAAATCTTGTCAGCCTATAATTTGATTCCTCATATAATTTCTCAAGAACAAACAGAACAAAATAAGAAAAGACATAAGAAAAAAAGACTAACATGCATACAGCACCAAGGAAATCAAGAAACCATTAAAACACAAACCTTAAGGCAAAGATCACAACGAGAAGGCTCATACTGCTTCTGCTGCTGGATTACTTTTGGGATTGAAGAGAGCTCTTTCGAAGCCTCGAACACAGCAGCAGGAGCAGAAGCAGGAATCCCAACCTGATGAACCGGTGCTGGTCCAACCATATACGGGTTAATCAAAACCTGACCCGACCCAAATCCATCATTACTATCAACATTAAACCCATCAACCCTATTAACCATCACACCACCTTTGTGATCCCAACCCAAGAACCCATTAAAAACACCAACATTACTACTCATTGGCACACCATAGTTAACTGCAGTACCGTACTGCAGCATTTGATAATAATTATTATTATTAAACGGGTCAGAAACATGTAACTGTTGGGCAGGTTGGCGATTGAGAGACCCAATCTGGTTACCCTCAGTAATTGCCTTCCATCTTTCTTGAATCCTTAAACGTTCAAGTTGAGCTACTCCCATGCCTCTTTGAGGTTGTTTCTTGCGAGTTTGATGTTTGTTGGTAGCAGGCTTTTTGGTCCGAGAAGTAATAGTAGTTTTTGCGGGTTCAGCTGGTTTGTTACTTATGGTCATGGTGGGTTCTTGTTTTGTATCATCGGTAGGCATGAGAAATAGTGAAAGCGGAGCAGCCATTAAGGTTTTCTGTTAGAGAAAGATGAAAGAAAAAGGAGTTCAAAAGAGGGTTATGAGAGAATGATGAAAAAGGAAGTAATGTTTGAGAATATAGAGAGAGAGGCAGAGAAAAGACACTGTTACATTGAGATCATCAGCTTAGACCATAGAGAAAGTGTATAGAGCAAAAAAAAAAAAAAAAAACAAAAGAAAAAGAAAAAAAGGCTAGCTAGGTTTTAAAGAGTAGTGAGAGCTAGGTGGCTAGTTAGCTTCCTGTGGAGATGATGGAGAGAAATTGGGGAATAAGATTGAAAAAAGAATGTTGGATATGAGGAGGTTTGTTGTTTTCTGATGATATGAACAGAGAGAGAGAGAGAGACAGAGAGGTGAAGAGAAAACAGAAGTGGCAGTGCGATTAAGAATGAAATGCCAAAAGTACATGGCCATGTCTATGTAATGTATGGATGTTTGTTGGGTTTGTCATTTGTCTTGTTTGTGTGATGATTTAATTGCTACTCTTTTACTATATTTACATGTTTTCTTCTACTCTATGGACAAAAATAATCATACAGAAAGACATCATTGCTCAAATCGATCCATAATCCTTAGAATCAGTGCAAGTGTGGTTGTGGAAAATGGGGATATATAGCTTTAACTTCACATTTCAAGAGAAAACCTAAGCCACCCACATTACTATTTTCCGCGGCTTAATTTACCTTCGCATTTGAAGAGAAAACCTAAACCACCCACATTACTCTTAAATTGTTTTAGGTCTTTCATAATTTCATGATTAACGTACCCTTTCATCACCGTGTGTGTATACACATAAGGAGATTTGTAGTGTGAGAAAAAAGATAGAGTTCTCTGACTCCTATGGTCCCACTGACACGTGGCAAAATGTGAGAAAAACTTAACCAATTGCATCAGAGGCATGGTCGGAGCTAAAGGGTATGATCCTGCGGAGAAGATGTTAAAAACAAGCAAAACAGGTGTACGCAGCTCAATGTCAGTTCTGTCAAAGATAGCAAAAAATCATTACTGTCATTTAAATTTCTTATAAAAAGGACAATAAACATTGCCCTTGTTAAAAAAAAAGAATTGGTTAGCCGTGTTTCTTCTTTCACATTTAATTTTTACACCTGCTATACTTCAATGGTCATGATCTTCTGATCATGCATGGGGTAGCTAGCTAGGGTTTGGACTCACCTGGCGATGGTGGTGTGACCTTTAACAATTTTAATGGGTCCACTGATCAAGAACATTAAAAGAGCAGTCTTTGGGCAATCATACAGAGTAAGATTTGGTCATGAATATATGAATCTGCCTATCATATAGCCTTTGCAATGATGCCTTCTTCATATTTGGAAATATCAAAAAGCTGACTCCATGTGGTAGCTTCTATTGTGGTAATTACCTATTTGTTCTTTTAACAAATAGTATGGCTATGTTTAATTTTAAAACCAATACTTCATTATTTTGTTTTATTTTTATCTAAAGGTATCTCAAATAAAAAAATTCAAATTAATCTTTGTTTATTTGATCGAACATGACAAGACATATATATCTATTCAAGGAATTTTCTATGTACAGAAAAATTCAAATTCAAAATCATTTATTTAAGTGATTAGAATTTTTTCTATTCAAATCAACTTTTTTGGATATGTTTTGTTATTTTTTATAAATGGTAAACAATATTACTTTTTTAAATACATATAATTAATCTTGTACGCGACACAAAAAATACAAGCTCAAAAAGTTGAACAAGATCATAGTCACTCTTATTTAGTGTTGTTTGCACATTTTCTAGGAAAAAGATTTGTGATTTCAAGTTTGAACGAGTGAGTTTGATTAAAACATTTGTTTCTTTTGTTCCCAAGATTCAATTAATACAACAACTTCTCGTAAAATAATTACTTGGTAGGAAGCTTTTGCCTTCGTTTCACTCCTAAAATCCTTTTGGGGTAACTTCCCATTACCTCACACCCACAAAAGCGAGACCCTTATGAACTCCTTTACCGACATCATTGCATCACATTAATCTTTCTTCAAAAAAGCATCACAATAATCTAATGGCAGTTTGTTACCATTTTTGTTGAAGTTAAACACCTTTTCCCATATCCTATTTGCAATTCTAAATTTCATAGCTTAGTGAATCATCTCACTGTTTATTACTATAAAATAAGAGTTTGAATTCGAGATTTCTTATTAATAATTGTACGAAAACAATGAAAATAGTAGGTAAACATCCTAAAAGTAGCATTCAAATCATTCATTGATAAAAAAAAAAAAAAAAAAAGCTATATATATAAACCATCTTCATCCAAATCAAATGCCTCAATTCTTATCACATGAAAAAACATCCTTCTTGTTAGGCTTGCGCTAGACCACCACCTAGCTAGCTAAGAATATGTCTCTTTCATCGTATGGTATACTCCAATTCAAAATTAAAGTCAAGCTGAAATCTCTTTATCGAAATCCCAATGCAGAACTCTTTCATCATCATCGTTGCACATAAGATTATATTTCTAAGAAAATATAAGAGGATTTGAACCCATACAAACTCATGCCCAAGTAATAACTACCATAAATTATTTTTTCCATTTACAATAATCATGTTTTTTTACTATATAAGAATTAAATTGCATCCATCCAAAATAATGTACTTAATAATTAAGCCGAGTTCTCTAGATAAATAAATGAAGCACCATCAAGTACAAAAAGAGCATGTTCTTTTCTTTTTCAAAAAATATATATAAGTAGTGGTGTGTTTTTTAAGTCAATTAAATCTACTATTTTTTGAGCTAAATCAATGTAAAAATATGTTTAATCTTAATTTAGTTGATCACCGTATTTCTTCTTAAATCAAATTAGCTCAAATCTTATATCATTAAAAATAATTATAATTAATTATTTATAAGGAGTGAAAATTAAATGTCGATATTGATCAAATTAAAATAATTCCTTATCGCTAGATCTTATTTCTTAGTGATAAAGGACAATATTCTATATTTCTTGTTTAGAACTCTTATGTATAGCTGATTACCTGCTATTACTAAGCCATTGGCTTACTTTTTCTATTCTGCATAACTACATCCTTTGTTTAATAATAATTTCAACTTTCCTAAAGAAATAAAAAGGACAATATTTTGTCCTTCATAAAAAAAGGAAAAATGTTTTTTTAATCTAGAAACTAGAATTAATCTGAACTATTCTTCTAGGATAAAAGAAGTGTGAAACAAAGTATTGATATTGGCATAAAGTAATTCAAGAACATGACTTATAATCCAACAGGATTTACTTGAATGGAAGAGTATCTAATCGTTTAAATAAATAATTTTAAATTTAAATTTTTATGTATACAAAAATTATTTTGACTAATTATTTTTATTTTATACGTTCGATCGAATAACGAAAGATTAGTTTAGATTTTTGAATTTACGATACCTTAGGAATCCAAAAAAAAAACACTGATTGTATCAATTTTTTTTTTCATGACCTTACGCTATTTGATTACGAGACAAACAGAAATTATGAGACATAAAGTAAGAAAATTTATTGTAATTGAGCTTTCAACCAGTGAATACTGAAAAATCTTGAATTAAGAGTTCACCGAGCCCATGCCATGCCTCAAGATCTGATTAACTTAATTATTACAAGGATACGTACAAATATTATAATCATGATCGTTGGTATTAAATAAAATTACACTTTATAGCATCTTTCTAGCTAGACCAACAAAAATTCCCGAAGTATATATATGTCAAAGACAGTAGTATCCCATGATAAACATGAAGCCAAGTTCACAAGAGTAACACGCCACATGCACATATCTACAATTACAACCACCCAAAAAGCTGTTTGCACAGGATCAAAGGATCACAAAAACTTGGATTAAAAAAAATAATAATAAATTTACACTAAGGGAGACATTAATTCTGTTTTGAAGAAAAAATTATGTTATTAAGGTGAGATTAAATGTATTATTTTGGATTCTTACAAAATAATCCAAACCGCATGACCAAACCAACAACCTAAGGTTGCTAGGATCCTGGTGAAGATCAAAATGTAATCCAAATTGAAAAGGAATGTAATAGGATGTACGGAACGCCGTCCTAGTAAGTCAGAAGAACCAATTGCCGATCGTATTTAGCCATGTAACCAAGTGGGCTCTGCTCCTTTTCCATTTATGGAGAGGAACCTTTTGCTCTCTCTCTCTCTATACACTTTCAGGCCATCAAGCCCATGATATCACATGGACAAGAATATCATCAAGACCATCAAATTTGAAGGAAGAAGAATCTTGGAAGATTGCTTGGCTTGTGGTCCCATTCCGCGTGGCAAATGGGCCCTACATTTGCATGCTATTGCCAAGTCTTGTATACTAGTATATAGTATAGGGTTTTTGTACTTTGTACGTACGTACGTAGCTAGCTATGCTGCAAAGGGTAAGATAGTTAATGTTGAACCAAGGAAATACGACGACTAGGACTAGGACTAAGAGAGCTGGCATGTGTGAGGCGACACGTATAATAGATTTGGGATTAGCTGGGTTTGGGCAGACATGGTGGATTCTTTGGTTCTGAGAAGCAGATTGTGCCCTGCATGGAATGATTAGGGATTTGGGCATTGTGGTACGTATAAATAATGGATCGTTTGTATCCATACACCACACAAACTTGTAGTTGTAGGAAGGTGGCTTAGGCTTGTGTTTCTATGGGACTAGGGACCACATCACATTTGTTATAATACTAAATATTATGGCCAATTTGTTGATTTTGGATTTGGGTATGAAAGATGTTGAAGATTTTGAGCAGGCCATTTTCATAGATGAGGTACAAATTTGGAGACCAAGACATAAAAGTGGTAAAATGTGTTCTATCTTCGTCCTTCATGAGTAGTTTTGGCAATTGGTATAAGAATTTTACTATCACCATTACAATTTTGTTTCATTAGAATATTTTCACATGATCATGCGTATTTGTCAAAGGGTTCCGTTTGAAAAAATCAACTCAAATAATTAAAAATGTAACAGTCTTCACTTTCCATTTGTCTCTCTTTCTATAATTTACTTCCTATTTCTGTATCTTAGACCTTTTACCATCACCTTGTTTGAACTAAACCTCTCAAAACAAAGGGAAAATTTGCAATTACATAACCAACATCAGGCATGCCTGAAGGTTGCAAGTCATTTCTATGTCAATCAGTTATGGCATCATTTTCTTGATGAAGTATATGAAGATCTTTTTTCCTGTATGGGAACCATCCTAATTTACGATTCGTCCAAATTCAATTACCTAGTTATCTTGACCATGACGTGGAAACACTTTCAAGAAAGTGTAAAATCATGCCTAAAACCACTTTCCTGTTGACAAGATCTTGGCAAGAAAACTTGGCATGCAGATTCTGAGTAGAATTACCAAAGAAGAACCCAAAGAAAGTGAGCCCACTTTTAGAACTTAAATTGAATTGCACTATAAAGATTATTTGACACCTAATGGGGTTCAAAATTTGAGATTATATTAACCTAGAAATATTCAAACTAGGAAGTGGTAAATTCTAGTTTCGATGGGACAACATTATTTTAAAAACTTTTATGGGTTATTTGCTGCAATGGTATCTATAATTGTTTGTCTTGACAGATTTATGTGGCCCTTGGGCTGCAGGAGGAGGAGCTTGAGGTTTTGGGGCAGATGAATGAGAGACTACATGGGTAGGTGGTAAGCATTGTTTTTTGCTAGTGGTTTCCTAAAGGTTGCTATAAGGGAACCTGAGGGTAGAGTAACTGTTAGTTTTGGCTTTATGCAACTTGTGAAAGATCTAACTATTTCAGGACAAAATAGCCCAAAAGATCCTTCCTCTCTTCACATTTTCTATACCCAAAAGAAAGTCCCGAACAAGGACCACAAGGATTGATGTAATTGTTTAGATCTCAATCTGAACTGAGATTTGCTTTCATTTCCCTCTCTGTGTTTCACCTCCCATTATGACCATTTTGCCCTCACCCATCAACCCCACAAATACCCTTTTGTCCCAAAAGCACGTCAGGACAGGTCAGGTCATGGCAGTCCTTGCAACATATTGTTACGTGGTACATTACATGTCTTACAATATTTGAGACCTTAAGGGAGGGACGAGAATCGGAGAGCAATGGCATACAGAGGTTATGGAGGTGAAATCAGGACCGTCCAAAGAGGACAAGTCTGTGCATCAAATACTGGGTGTTCTCTAGCATTTATGTACAGAAAGGCGTATGTGATGCATCAAAAAGGTCGCTATCATCTGTTATTTGGGTTGGTACTGCCAACAAAAAAGCAGCACAAAAGAAGGACTGAGACATAAAAGCAACATATGTCTGAGAGATGTCCGGACTCTGGTGGTGCCGTAGAACAAAGGACCTCACAACTTTATAATCCAATCTATCCAAATAATGATAGCAAGAAAAAAATAAGAAGAAGAAGAAGAGAGAATCAAGGCATTTCCATCCGCAGCCAGAAGGGTAGTGCTTTCCTTCGAAATTTTAAGCTTCAAAGATGATGCAGAATCAACTTAGAGCTACTCATAGAGCGAATGTTATGAGAGAGTCCTGAATGTGTTGGCTCATGTAGTAAATGGATTTGTTTTATAATATTTGTGAAAGTTAAGAAAGAGAGAGTTTTATAAATACTTAATTTTTACGAACAAAAGTTGATTAAAAAAATATTCGATTTTTTTTTTTAAAGAAAATTATAAGAAGAAAAGAAAGGAATAGACGAAGAGATTTTTTGTTTTGTTTTGTTTTTTTCTTTTTACTTAACTGTTTTTGGAGGGTTTTTTTTTTTTTTTTTTTTTTTGCCATTTATACATGACCCACATAATATGCCTAGAAAGTAGGAAGAACACTTCCTGTCTAAATTATTTGGATGGTCCATGGCATGTTAAGTAGGTGGATAGGGCTTAAGCCAAGTGAACTTCACTTAGCTTATAAAGGAACATCATGCTCAATGAAGTGCACCACACTAAGGTACATGGCTTTCCTCGTGTAACTTAGCATGCACATGTGAGCTTGTCGAATTATTGTGTACTATAGGGCAAACCTAGATCACAAGGCCTGGGTTCTTAGGCTTGCTGAAAACAGTCACTCTGTCCAATTAATTTATCCTCGACACATGATTCCGAAGAAAATATATCCTTGATATGAAACCACGAAAGGCATAAAAATGACAACAGTTAACTATAGCTTAACTGGGCATTACCCTCTTCTTTTACCTCCATTCCAAACCCTGACTTTTCATGGGGTCATTAAAAAGGAAACCTAAATGATATGCCCAATTGCCTCACTTTTTTAAATCTTCCACCTTTTTACTTTCTCAGATACTTTAAGCTAATTTACACCATTGAACACAGCTGGGCATAGGTAGCTTGCCCTTTCTCTTTACCCTCTTTGATAAGAGACAAGAAGCGATCAAGAACTATAGCCGGTTATATCTGGTCCATTATGAACCCTTCCTTTTCCAAGTTAAAAGAGTCCGCAGATTGAGTTCCCACGAGGGCACAACGAGAAATACGAGATAACAAGAACAAAAACTTCCAAGAAAATTGTGAGCCATTTGATCTTAATGGGTCGAACCCAACGTTGGATCCCACTAATGTAATGAATCATGTGTGTTCTTAAAGTTTTTCTTCATCTTTAGCATTACTCAGTGCACAACACGATAATAATAATAAATAAATGAATAAATAAAACAAACTGGCGGTTATTCATATGGCTGTATCACATATCTCGGGAACAGCGCAAGAATTCCAAGGACAAACTAGTTAAGCTGGAGGGGCAGAGAAGTGAGAAAGCATCTAGCAGAAATCTAAAGTAACCTTGCCCTTTCAGCAGGCTATTTCATTTGCCTAAATGAAAGACTTCAGTTCTTGGAAAGGTGACCGATATTGCATTGTGCACTTGAAACTGAATGAACTATATATCATATATTCGAGAATAAAAATTGATACACAAATTTAAATTTGATCCACTTACATTCTTAACATAGTATGCGCATATGCTACACTCACAGGAAGCCTAAATGATGCACACAACATCCATTTTCCAGGTGCAACATGCCGTACTCTACGCATTTCTACATTAACTTCCACCTCTTGCAATGCAATCCTTATTCGCTGCATTTACATCGTTCAGGAGAAGTGGAAAATCAGGAATTGAAGAAAAATATAAATTAGAAAACAGGCACCCACACGCCAAGTCCAGCATACAATCAAAAAAAAAAAAAAAAGGGTAAAATTCCTAGTAAGTTTTTAGCAAGTGACCTCATGGAAATCAAATTCTGGATCACGAGCTCTGGAGAATCCATAAACATGGATCATTGGCAAGGCAAATTCTCTATCCTTGGGTTTATCCTTGAATATCCCCCTGAATGCATCTGTAAATAGATGGGGGAAAAAACATAAATAGAAAGAATCAAGTAATTCTCAGAATTCATCATTTTCAGAAATAATCTGGTTCTAGCTTAAAACAATCCCAAGTATTCAAGTATGTTGGAAAAATTACTTGTCAAGTAAGTTAAGTAACAGTGTCACTTGCCTCTTGCCTCATACAGGCTATCCAGGAAACTTAAGTACATGTTTCTTAGCAGAAAGTACACTTTAAGCAAATTGAAATACTAGATTAGCAGCATATTTTTAAATGTTGCTTCCCATTCTTGAATGTCCATGGACAAAACTATTGCATCCCTAAAAAGTCTTCTATTAAAGAACGTGATTGGAAAATTAATGGCGTCCATTATGATTGCATAGAAATAACCAGATGATGCATGCAACATTTAGGATCTACATGTTTGGTCCAGGAAAACTTTACACACCTAGATATTCCACTGCATCGTTCGGCAAGTTCATAACCACCTGTGTGATGGACTGAGCTTTCTGACTGGCAAACATAGCATTGATGAACCTCCTTCCATCCATGTTAAAGATCTACAAAATGGGACGTAATATCCTTAATATGAAGCTCGTTGACAAGAAACAATTGCAGCTAGATACCTACAACAAATAATCTCAGGCTCGATTCCATAAAAATAAAGATACGGAAGTCTAACTTATGAAACATAATTTACCGAACTTAACTCATCTTTATTTAACAAGAAATTATGTTAAACAGCTAAAACTTCCAAAAAGAGGAAAGAGATAACTATCAAGTATATTATATCGTGCTGAATAAACTTTTAAATAGTATTAGGCAAAAGCAACTACATAAAATACGCATGGAAGTTACTATCATACCTCAATGTGCCTCTCAAGCTTGTTAAGAACACTATTTTTCTCCATATATTCAACTGCATTAGGGTTCAAATCATTGGCATACACACGTTTCACTATCTTTGCAGCAGATAGAGCTATCGGCCCAACTCCAGCGAAAACATCACCTATCGATCGTGTAAATATGACCAGAAACAAGTTAGCACTTTGATAAAAGTATTCTATGCAGCTGTAGAAAATGCTTGGAGATACAAGCATACTTCACAGTTCTAAGCAAGCAACTATATTCGAATACAGATTAATGGTAAATTTTCCAACCCAAAAACTTTAAAGTTTCAACTCTTAGAAATCTGCAGGTATGTAAACAATAGTTTATTATTTAAACATACAAAGGACATCATTGCGCTTGAAGCCATTCAGAAGTCTTTGCCTTTCACTTGAAAGCCTGGAATTCCAATAACTGCATGGAGGTAAAAAAAAAAAAACCAAAGTATAAGTCCTCGCTGCCTTCATGTCTTTTCTTGGTTGCACTGAATTTGAGTTTTATCCGGGGAAACAGTTTTTCAGTTATATCCGCTTAGGACTCAGCCACTCAGGACAACATATAGATCATTCAGCAACCACAGAGAGAGAGAGAGAGAGAGAGACAGTGACGTAGAGAGGTATTAGATCAAGTATAGGTCAAATAAACTTTAGGTGACGGCAAGAGAAATTCAACCTTAGAAATTTGGGTACTTTGGAGGAGGTTTAGCCTGTGATACCCTGTAACGGGTTTCTGGACAATCATTGTATGGTCAAAGCACTATCACTTCCATGTTATGCAGCAGACCTAATTGATCCTCAATATATACTGCTAAGGCCTGTTTTTAGTGAGTTTCAACTATATAATAACGTTCAATGTGGAGAATTGCATGTTCAAGCCATGGACCTCAAAAACATAAGATGATAACTACAGAATCATCAACTGAATGATGCAGTTTAGGGTTCCCGACTGAAAAGGGACTGAAAGAAGTGCCTTTTAAGTTGGTTTCTGCTAAACCTTAGAAGAACAGACATCTAAATATTTCAGTTGAATGCTCAATAATGTTGCAAGTAAAGGTGGAACATACACTGCTGCTAAATCAACATGAAACCGTAATCCATTCTCGACTACCATGGTAACTAGAGAGCGATTTCCAGCTAAAACTTCAAGCTGCATTGTTCTGTAGTCATTATGTATGCCATCAATCTTATTTACAACCGTTTGTATCTTTGGCTTGTTTTTATCCAGCACTACCTGTAGGAGATGTAATAGTTAAGAAAGGAGTAGTTCATGAAATACGTTTCAATCCTAAGGTAAATCTTCAAGATTGTACGACTATAAGTTACTAGAACAGACCTTTGCTATAAGCTTCTTGTACGGCAGATGCTCATCTCTCAGGTTTAGATGTGCAATATGTCCAACTGTTTCAAAAGCTGAGGGAACAATCATATCCTGTGGCAGTAAGGCCTCCAAGATCTGGAAAGCTATAGTTATTAGAAACCATCATGCTTTTGCAACACTCTGATAACCCAATGCAGTGCATGAATAGTAGATACATTCACAGGCAACAGCTTATAAAAGGCAGGACGCAATCAACCAAGTTTAAGTGCATGCAACCCCAGCTTGATTTAGAATAGCAGCACTCAAACTTCAAGCTCAGCTCAAGCTCAGTGTTATGCTTTACTCTCTTAAATGTGACCTCCACTTGATTTGACTTCTTAAGCATGCAAGTTCAAGTTTGGTCATTTAATAAAGATAGCATTAATTACCAAAGCAAACACTTTTAGATAAACAAAATTATCAAGTAAAATATCAAAAGGGAAAAAAAAAAAAGAAAAGGGCAAGGATAGTAGAAGTGAAGATTAAACCAATGGAATGACATAAAAAAATCCTATCTTCAGAGTCCTGGTTCACAAGCCTATCAGTATGGCATAAAAATTATTTGGGTAAATCATCCTAAAATAAAGCTTGAAATTGGTCCAGTTTTAAATGAGCAAGCTGAGCCAAGCCTGGGGCATTCATGAACTTCTCAGTTCCATTTACAGCCCTACAAAAGGGACTTTTTTTTTTTTTTCCTTTCCTGTCCACAACCCCCCCGGCGCCGCGCAGCGGCGAATAAAAAAGGGACATGTATTTGAGGAAACCCACTACTTTCCCTTTTTTTTTTTCCTTTTTCTGGTTGCTGAATAACTTACAAAGACCCACTAATGTATATTTTTAAAGAAATAAATAAGAATCCTCTGAGTTGGAATTTCAGTTAGATTATTTAACATCATATGCAGTGAGACATTGAGCAATAAAACAGAGAGAACAAACACATCAAAAAATGCAGGTACTCTTTGTGTACCTCATTCATCTGCCAATAATCATAAAACAAAGTCAGCTTGCATCTAACAAGATCAAAGGTAGATGTTGAGTTCTCTCTCATAGCTTCTTGTAACACAGCCTGATAAAAAGGATGAGAATGTTAGATGTAAAATCATAAACAAAGACAAAGACAAAGAAAAAATGAAATCTGCCAATGAAGCATACTTAAATGTTATGTCATGATATAGAGTAAAGTATAAGAGAAAGAATAGACATGTTGCAGTGTGGCAAACTAGCTGTGTAGGGAAAATGCCCTTGAGATGATAGAATGAAGGCTGCCACCAGACAGTCCAATCTGAAACTTCCATATCAAGGTTGTAGATAGAAAGCAAGAAGGGTATAACAAGAAAGAGCCATTTACTAAGCATTGAAAGGAAACATTTTGATTTAGAACAGCTAAGAAAATTAGAAAGAAAAACTGTCAATTTAACACACAAACTACTTGCAAGGCAGGAGGCTGTGGCTAAAAGGAGGCACAAATAGCAGACATCACTAAGTTTTCAAGTGTGTTTGGCTGAAAATTGAAGTCTCTTGGTCAAATAAATTCCAATGGTTGAGGAAAGGAATTTATCTCACAAGCAATTAGTTATGATTGTTTTAGGCAGATATCACAATCAAGGCACAGCATATCTGCTGCATATATTTCACACTTGGAATCAATATGATCAACTTCCGGGATTGGTCAACCAAGGATTGTTATCAATATTCCACTAGAATTAAAACTCTGATGCATTCTCAGAATATTGACATATGATTTTGACTTCTGTAGGTTATGGTACCAATAAGAAAGCAAAACTCTTTTAACAGTTGAAATATACAGGCAACCACTCTTGAAACACAAGAATCACTGATCCTAGTCAATCAAACCACTAACCTCAGAGTTGAAACTCAAATTTTAATTGATTATCTGCTTTGTGGGTTTCACCAAAAACAAAGAATGACAATCTCATGATAGAGAGCCACTCTTGTTGCTAAAAATCATGCTTTCCTACCAATTGAATGTAGAAACCAATAGTAATAACAGCCGTGCATGTGGTCCACAATCTATGGAGTAGGAAAAGCAGTTCAATTTCAAGCAAATATCATCAAAATTGTCTAACAACATAAGCAGACATGTCTCGATTCTTGCACCAACTAACTCTCACATCTTTCTTTTGATACAAGTTTTATCACGCTGCTTCCCAAGATACCTTCATTATAAATATGCGGGGGCTTCCACTCCAAAAAAAGACTAGGGGTGAGATCATCACAGATTGCTTTCTTGGCAATAGCTCGATCACAGAAGTTTTCATTGCCAAAACCAATTCACACATAAAACACGAAATCAGTGTGACAAGGGCATTAGGTAATATGCCTAAAGCTAAAATTACTTGTCTTTGATCATAGTACATTATTCTCTCCTCTCCATGGTTCTTCCTCCTCGTTAAAAAGCCATCCACGTAGAAGTCTACATATTTTTCTACGCATGCAAATAAGCTGTTTTTTTACCCAATTTTCTGAATGTTCTGTGCTATATTCTTCACTTGCCAGAACCAAGAAAAAGTTACTAGCTTCCCTTCTTTTCCATATAGCATCTTACAAAATTCTAAGATCCTACACTCACAACAGGAAAAAACAGAAAGCCATCATCAAACAGCATGCTTCACTGGCTTTCCAAATGAATTACCAGGCAAAAACTTTTCTCCCTTGAATCAGCTGTCGACTGTCTAAAATTACGGCATAGAACGGTTGAAAATCGTAATTAATCCTACTTAATAAAGCTCTACTTTCCATCTATTGTATATGTCCTAGCTAATCATAGAATAAAACTTTAAGTACTACGTGGCATTCAAATCATATCTTAAAGAGAAAAAATGACTTGTTTTTTATGCTTGCCTAGGGAATTGAAAAGAAACAGACCACAAATGTAATAATGTAAGAAACGCATCAGAGAATTGCCAAAATCAAAAGAGCTAATGGAATTAATAGAGAACATTAGAAGCATGAAGCAAGTGGAAAAAACTAAATGCTAACCAAACTATATCAACTCAGAGTATCATCTAAGTATAATGGCAGATGATTATACTTCGCAAGAGTCAGTTATGCAAGAAAGACAAATCACAATTCTGAATCATGACAAGACACAATAAACACAAAACAAGGGTAATAAAAATGCAGTATAGGAAAACTGAAAGACCTTCAAACTGACTCACAGAGAAACAAATTAATTTGGATAAGCCACCTTGATCGCTTGTGGCAACTCATCCACTCCCTTCTCCGCATACGTCTCATCCAAAAGCAACAACCTGGTCGGACCCATCCATTTCTTACTCCCTTCGAATTCATCCCCCAACAAACCCTTCCAATCCCCTCCTTCCTCCTCTTCCAAAACCTCCACCACAGAGAATTCATCCCTCCCTTTCCTCTCATTTCCCTCCGTCTCTTCTCCTTTCCCTCCCTTCTTCTTCTTCCTCCTAGGCCTCGAAATCTTAGCCAAATTCCTAAACTTTACAAAACCCCTTGAATTGAACTCCTTTGCCAATTTTTCCCTATACAAAACATGACCTAATTCTTCACCATCTCCTTCTGCTTTCCCATAAATTCTTCTATTCAATGCATCAAAATTCTCTTCTTCATCTTCACTTTCTTTTTCTTTCTCTCCTAGTAAAGAAACCATATTTTCTTCCATTTCGTCGCCAGGTACTCTAGCAATGTTTCGAATCCGCGGCCAATTCAATAAGTGGCCACGAATTCTGCTCTCAAGAGCAAAGCAATCCTTTGCAGGGACTCTAAGCGCAGCTATATCAAAAACCCGAGTGAAGTTATCCTCGTTTATTATATTATCATCATAATCAGGGCCCTCTTCTTTTTCACCCTTCTGGTCTTCTTTGCGTGGATAAAGAAGCTCTGAGCCAGAAAGAGATTGATACTCTTGCTGCTGTCGTTGCTGCTGTTTTGGTTGAGGACAGTGAAGGGTTTTCCTCTTTTGAAGGGAGGGTCCATAAGGGAGGGTTTCAGGGGCAATCGCTCGAGCGGTTGTGGAAAGTAGTGAAATAATGGTGGGTTTTGTAAGAGAGAGTTTGGGGAAGAGAAAGAAGTGAGCGGGAGAAAGGACGATTGAGTTCGGTCTGAGAAAGAGTTTTGTGACCATTGTACAAAAGGATGTGGTGTGCGCGTGTTAGAGAGACTGGAGTGATCTGGGAGTTAGACAAAAGGCTTAGTGGGTCTCTGTTTTTAACCTTTTTTAGCCCAAGAAAGGATTTGCTGTTCCTCATATCGCATAACGATGAGAAAACTAGCAAATCATAAACCAAAATTAACTCTGTTTTCTAAACCAAGAAACTAAAGCAAAACTTGAGATTCTCTTTCTAGGAATGAGTTGAGTCCCATGAAGAGCAAGGTTAGAGCTCTAATTTAAACCTACGTTACCAGCTGTATGTGTTGCAAAGTTCTTTTTAATCTTTATTTTGTGTTTATTGTGTTACTTTATTTATTTTTTTCGTCTTAAGATCATTTCTTTATATTTTGTTTTTGTCTAAATTTTGTCCGTGTTAACTTTTTTTTATCTTATGAATTTTTTTTCATCTCAATCATTTTTATGAATTTAAATAAATAAATTTTAGAAAAAAAAGTTGAAAAAAAATTGAAGATATATTTAGCCATTTTCTTTAAAAATAAATAAATAAATAAAAACAAAAAAAAGATAAAGCTAAAAATATTTTTTTATTCAAAATATCTTAATCTTTTATGAGTTTCAATTTAAGTCCGTGATAATAAGTAAATTTTTAAGTATAAAATAAAATATTTATAATATTTTTTCATTATAAATATAGCTTTAGTTAATTTTTTTTGTTAATACCCTCATGTATTCTTATACAATAGATCAAGTTTCTAACATGTCCTTATATCTTAAAATAACTTTATTATGTCCTTGTTATTTAAATTGGTTTATAATCTTTTTTTTTTTTTTTGTCAAAATTTCCAACCAATTCTTCTGCATGTATTTCCTTTTCCAACCTAATTCATCTATCCGATTTCAATTTCAACTATAATTTTATCAAATTACATACAATATGCAAATCATATGATTAATTTTTGATAAATTAATTGAAAATTTTGACTAGAATGATAGATTAAAAACCAATTCAAATAACGAGAGACATGATAGAGTCATTTTAGGATATAAAGATATATTGAAAACTTAAATTATTATATAAGGATAGATAAGGGTATCAACTCTAAATTTATAAACTTTTGAATATTATTTATAATTTTATAATACCACAAAAGAGTATACTATAATTTACTTATTTTGATTTTATAAATATCTTAATTTAACTCCGAATATAAATTTTATTATAAATTATAGTCAAATTAAGAAATTCGTCAATGTTGGGTCCAACAATAACAAACGTTTATATTCCCACTTTTGATTCAAATTAAAATTTGTAAATTCAAAGTAATTAAACTCTCTTTGCATTTAAAAAAAATATATAAATATGTCATTTTATACTAAAATAATCTCTTACTCTTATGGAGACACAATTTTTTTTTAAAAAAAATACTATAAATATTTTTTATATTCAAAATTTTTTTATTATCATAGAAACAAATTTAAGCTCATAAAATATATTTTGGATAAAAAAATATTTTCATCTTCATTTTTTCATCTAAAAAAAATATTAATAATTTGAATATCGGATTAATAATTTAAACCCATTAACTCATCATTCAAATTTAAGCCCATAAAAGAGTTAATAATTTGAATGACGGGTTATTATGGGCAAATTTGTCTCTGAGTAAATTTTGAGTTTAAATTTGATGGAAAAAAAGATTAAGATAAAAAAAATAAAGTATAGGTATGAGATTAAAATTAAAAAAATAAATAAAATAACACTATTAGTCTAAAAGTTAACACAATAATAAGATTAAAACATAGACAGATGGAAAAAAAAAAAAAAAAACAGAAATACAATAAAGATTTTAAAAAAAAATAGAGGGACTTCAGCAACTATTAAGTCTATTTGTAAATGCAAATTTGCTATTAGTAGTTGATAGAAAAAAGGAGAAAAATAAAAGAAGTTATTAGTTGGGTTGTTTTCCAAAATGCCATGCATCTCTTTCCGTGGCATATGTTTTCAAGTAGCCCATACCAACTGATTCTGGTGTCCTTACATCGGAGGGGATTGAAAGCAAGTACCTTAAGCCTCCCTAATTGGGAAAATCATCCAAACGTATGTGTTTTTTTAGAAGATGCCATATTTATTGACATCACCGATGCTTATTGCAAACAGTACATTAACTAGATGGCATTAATCAGCCTTTGATTTGAATTTTGGATTTTTCTATCAGATTAGCAGTGAAGTGCCAAGTAGTGCAAAGTTAGACCGGGGAAATATTCCCACAATAGAAGGTTCGTGCTTGTAGATGTTTAAGATCGGGAATGAGAAAATTCTTGGGCTTTTTTCTCTAAGATACCGATCATTGCCTTTTTTTCTTCGATGCTAGCCAAAGGAGGAAAACAAAAGAAAGTGCATAGAATCATTGCCATATGTACAGAAGATAATCCTTGGTCAAATCAGGGGAAAACTTATCAAACTCTACAGGTAATCTTAGAAACATGAGCGTATTTTTACTTTCTTTGATATAAAAGAATTAATCATGCACACATGACAAAAAAAATTATGAGAGGGAATAGTGAAAAAATTATTACAAAATCACGACTAGCTTTATGTCATCAGGGGAAAAAAAAGAAGTAAAATGAATCTACATGTACACTTCAGGCAGCCCTATGAAACTACAAAAATTATTTGAATCTCCTCTCCTGTCCCTTTTGGCAGGGTGCGATGCTTTTTCTGTTAATTATTGCTTGTCAAAAAGATTAAAGAACACGATTACGGTTCCTTTCCAGTAACCCTTCCATAATAATCTTCTTCTTGTACTCCTCTAAATCAATCCCTTCATAATCAGCTATCTTTTGCGATAGGTTTTTCCTGGCTTTCAAAAAATGGGGCACAAAAAAAGCCATGTTGAGGTGCACAAAATAGCACATGCCTTGCCCCAGAAGACCAAAGCCACAAGACTTATAAGAAGCAAACACAGACCAACAGTAGAACTATAGGATCCTTCTCCATTTCCTTGCATATTATCCTGTTCCGGTTTAAACTTGATTGAGTTTGATCGAAATGACCGGCCTGTATCCAGTAACAACCTTGAATTTCGAAAAAGTGATGAAGAATTTGAAGGACTCCGGTTAGAGATATTTCTTCCATCATCTTTCTTGTCTTGATTCTTTTTATTTATTGAATTTTTCTTTTCTCGTTTTGAATCTTTCTCAACCTTTTCAGACTTGTTCAACTTTTTTGAAAGTTTTCTTTTCTTAATCTTCTTGGCCTGTCGAAGAAATAAAGTGCCCAAAAATCAGAATCGGCAAACACATGTAAGCAAACGGTGGACAATTAACTTAAGATGATATGTAGATCGTTTGATTAAGTTTCGTAAGGTAAAAAATTGTATGATTAAAAAAATAAAATAATGAACTTTTCATTTATTAATCAGATAGTTTAAACTAGACCAATAACAGATGGTCGAAAGAATGGAGCATCAATTACATGATTCCAGAGCAGAGAAGGAAATAGAATTAGTTAGAAAGTGAGTATAAATATTGTCCTGAATTTTGATCAATCACTTTCATAAAAAAAATATATATTTTTATTGTTTGGATCAGATTGAGCGGCCAAATCCGGAGGGATAATAATGCTATAAAAAGCAATGATCAGGAAGGTAGAGAATATGATAATATTAAAAATTCAAAGAGTAAAAATCAAGGGAAAAAAAAACCAATAAAAGTAAAACCAATCAATTCGTTTGATCAAACAACAAAAAAACACTTATGAACACACATGCCAATTACCAATGCATTCAACGAGACTCAGAATCCAAGAACAGAACATCAACCTTTCAATTTTTCTCATCAAAAGAGAAAAAATTAGCCCATCAAAACATCATCGTTAAAAACAGGGGAACAATCTATAGTAAAGTCAAAGTCAATGGAACAAGGTACTTACCAATGATGTCTCAAACAAAATTGCCTTCAATAAGCGAGAAAAATTCTTCTTGTGACGTTTCTTTTCCGGGTAAGCAATGAATTCCTTGTTTGTCGATGGCAAGGTGGTGGGAAATATCTGAGGAAAAACCGCTCCATCTCTCTGTTCTGACTTAACATACTTAAAGGCTGGATCTCCTCCGCTGCCGCAGCCACCACCCTTTTCAAGGCCGTGTTCCTCTAGACCATCCATAACCACAGGAGTAAAACACAAACAGAACTTGATTTGGTTCTTGTTTTTTCTCTTTTGGTCAATGTTGCTGTTGGTTTTTATTTTCTTAGTCGACTGCATGGTGTGTTGATTATTAGAAAAGGGATTGTGGTGTTGCTGGTTACATTATTTTTTTGCGTACAGGCGGGAATTTAGGGGCTGTTTGTGGGGAGAGAATTTTGTGGATAAAATCTGAGAAAATGAGGGAAAGTGCGTCTTTTGTTCTGTGTCTGTGTGTGTTTTTATTATTATTGTTTTGTTTTGCTTTGTTATTTAAAGAAGAAGAAGTGCCGTTTGGGTAGTTTTTTTTTTTTTTTTGGGCCGTTTGTGCCGTGTTTTGTAAGCTCCGTTGAAAGCAACTCAAATACAAGAACAAGAAAATTTCAGGAAAGTGCTTAAAGATACGAATATGGGAGGGAAGCGGAGGGTCTTTTGGTATTTTACATCCAATTAGGAATTTGACTTTCTCATTTCCGACTATAAGTACGATGTGGTTTCTCAGCTTATGCGTCCATATATACTGGAAGGGACAAAAGGGAAAATCCTTGGAGGGAAATGAGAATAAACCAAATTTTTTCTGTTCTTTTCTTTTCTTTTCTTTTCCTTTTTATCTCTCTCTTCTTCTTCTTCTTCTTCTTCTTCTTCTTATTTTTCTTAAAATACCCACTAAATTAGTTTTTTAATTGTCTTTCACTAATTATTAATACTTTAATTATTTTCTCTCTCTTTTCACGAATATTTAACCCTCCAATTTATAAATACATCAAAAATTCTTAAAAATCAACTCTTTCACTTTCAAAAATTATCCTTGTTACAATTACTTATTTAACTACCCATCTCCATTTTTTTAACCTCATACCAAACGCTACTATAGGATGAATTTCTTTTGCTTTTTTTATTTTTTAAAAAATAAAATTAGAATTGAATTTCTTTCATAGTTTGCTTAACAACTTATATATGATAGTATGTTTCTTAGAAAAATAAAATAAAGAAATAAGTCTTTTTTTATGCAACGGTCCAATGTGAATAACTTGATTAAGACCCCATTGGAAAAAAATAATAATAATCTTAATAAATGAAATTTGATAAAAAAAAAAAAAAAAAAGCCGTCTTTGTTAAAATGCATAATAGAAGGTGTGTTTCTATTGACTACACTGTGTGCAAAATTATATTCACAATTATCACCACATTTGATATACTCCTTCAATCTTTGCAAGTTGGAATGGAGTAGGAAAGGGATTTTAATTATTTTTTTTTTAATTCAACAATAAGTGGATTTTTTTACTTTGCTTTTACATATTTCAAAACTAATTTATTCTTTAATGTAGTTAAGAAATATTTTTCAATGCATCATAAATGTAGTTAAGAAACATTTTCTAAGGCATCATAAATTTTTTTTAACTAATGTTGAACAAACCATATGATTGGGATTAATTATTGATTATAATAAAGCAAATAATTTTGCCGAAGTAACCAGTCATTTTCAAGAGCTTTCCAATAATTACCAAACTACCACCTTTTAGATCTAGTTAATTAGAATAGGAGGATAAAAACCAGATATCTTGACATTTTTATTTGACGATGAGAACCAATCACGTATAATTGCTTATTCTGTTGTTTCCACTTACTTAAATGTTCCTTATCAATTCAAGTCGCTTACGTGGTGTAGAAATAGAATTCCAATCTCTCCATATGGATTGGCGGTCGACATTAACATTCCTGGACAAGTTAAGTTTACTAAATGAATCGTGTCTTTTAAGTTTTGTTTCTATTAAGGAAATGAGTTAATAATTTCTTTAACTTACAAACGGGAAAAAATTAAATAAATCAGAAAATGATATTAGTGTCGGATTAACAAATAGTATCCAGTCATATTTATCTATAATGATGATATATTTATTTAATCTTTTGAACATGATTAGTTAATATGGAATGAGTATATTTGAGGAAAATAATAATAAAAAATTACATTATTACTTTAACCTGATCGATAACATGGGCTATTGATTATTGGATTGACAAAGGAGAAAATGAAGATAGTTATATCAACGTACAGGAAGTTACGGTAAACGCATGTAATGCCATGATTATGGAAAGAAAAAGAAAGGCCGACAATTTAGTCTTATATTTTACTGACTAGAGTAGACTTGGACTTAGAATGGACTGGTTCAAAACCATGACTTTAGACTGGCGATAAGTGGGAAAGAGAGAACCCTAAAAAATTCTAGCGATGTACGTCATGGATGGGAAGGGAAAAGAAAAAAAATCGAAAATCTGTGCCAGGGGCATTCCCGTCCAATGCCTCTTATTGTTCTATCGTAGACGTTCTTCAATATGGCCTTTTTCCTTTTTTGTCAAAGTCATGGAAACTTGGAAAGATTCTTTGATTTGGGAAAAAAAGGGAAAGCGTATACATATAAATAAATCTTAATATATGCGAAAGCTAATTCAAAAATATTTATTATAAATATAAATTGAATTGAATTAAATTGAAAAAAAAAAAAAAAAAGAAGGAACGAAAGTTGTTATGATGTTGTTTTTATTTCTTGTGAAGTGCCACATTTGCTTGATTCACTCCAGCAACAACTCGTTTTGCTTTTTTAAATTGTGAATAGCTTTTTTCAGTCACGTGATTCGTACTTGCGAACATGTCTATTTAATTATATCTTTAATATTTTTTTTATTAATTTTCATAAATTAATTTAATAGTTAATAGTTAAGAAATACGAAGTTGGTATATATCTATTATAAGAACTTCTCTTTAACAATTTTGTATAATTTTCTTGTATAAGCATAGTTAAAAATTAAAACTATATGTTTTTTATTGTATTGTTATGAGAACGTTATGTCTTTAAAAAAAAAAAAAAAACAAAAAAAAAAAAGAAGAGAAAGGGAACTTCATTTTTTCTTGCCACGTATGAAAAAATTCTTTTAATTAAAAAAATATCTTGTTGTTTTTATGGGCTAATTGATTTATTTACCCCTTTATATTAGGTGTGTTTTTTCATGCGTTTTTTAAAGATTTTTTCACTCCAATATTTCCGTGTATATTCATGCTCTTTCATTTGTCCATTCATTGTTTTTTTGGACAAAAATATCCCTCATACTATCAAGAGAAAATTTTATGTTTGATGCATAAAAAATATAAAAAAAATTAAAAAAGTTTGAAAACCCAATAAAATAGAAAAATTAAACAAAAAATCTAGAAACTTAAAAACTTGGACCATTCCAAAAAAATATAAATTAAATAACTCATAAAAAAATAAAAAGAAAAAAGAAAAGAAAAGAAAAGAAAACTAATGAAACTTTTCAAAAATTCGTGTTTTGCTGAACTTATTTTTTGGCATACATATATTTCTATTATGGAGCTCTATGGACATAGATTTTTATTTTTTGGATTTTACATGTTAGTTTTATTTTTTGGATTTTTTACAGGGCTTTCAAGGTTTTTTTTACTTCTTTTCAAATTTTTTAAAATAAAATTTTAACATTTTTTTAATTTTTGAAAATCAAATTTTCTTTTGGGGGTTTGGGAGCATTTTCACCCAAAAATAAAAACTAAAAAAAGTATATATGAAATAAAATATGAATATATAAAGGCGTATGAGAATGAAAAATTCTTAAAATGACATATATCTTGGAAATTTAATATATAAAAATAGATAGATGAATTAATCATGTTTTTATTTAAAAAGTGAAGTTAATTTGATTATACGATGAAAATAAATTAAATGATAAATAATAACCTAATGTTAGTTTTAGTTTTCCATCTTGATTATTTGGTATCATCAATAATTCAAAACTCTTGAAAATCTCAAAAGAAAAATAAAACTTGATAAAGAATTGGATCTCAAATACAAATATCTATGTTTTAAAATTTTAAAATTAAAATATTTTTTCGTACCACAATTAATAACCTATGCTTGGTGTCACTCGCTACAAAAAAATGAGGCTTTAGCAACAACTAATTCTATCACTAAAACTATATAATCCATCATTAGTGTACTTTAGATTTTACTCGCGCTTACGCTGCAGATTGGATAAAATATATAAAATCATATAGAAAAATTATTTCAGTTTAATAATCTGTTTTATGATAAAAAAATAATTATAATTTTTAAATGAAAAAAATTTATATTTAACTATTTCTTATTTGTGTTTTTAAATTGTAGAAATAAATAATAAAGCAAATAAATTATTGATTTCTTTAAAATTTTAACACCTAATATTATTAAGAAATTAAAATTAAAAAAAAAATTCAATGTTTAGGAAAAAAAAAAAAAAGGAGGACAGACTCTTTACCTGTTCATGCGAAGAGTAAACGGATGGAAATTAAAAAAAAAATTGTGTTTAGAGAAAAAAAAAAAAGAGGGCAAGCCGTTTACCATTCAAATGAACAATAAACGGGTAAAAAAAGAAGGGGGGACCAACGGGTGCTGGTAAAAAAAAATGAAAACTTAAAAAACAAAAAAAGCCAAAGTAATATAGCAATGAACATTGTTCATTGCTACGATAAAAAATGGTTTTTCTTTAGTATATAGTATTAGATTTTTTACCTATGCTATGCTACGGGTTGGATAAAATTTTTTATTTAACTATTTCTTTTTTTTAATTTTAGAAATAAATAATAAATGAAATAAATTGCTGGTTTCTTTAAAATTTTAACACTCAATTAATTGTTGGTTTTTTTAAAATTTTAACACCAACTACTATTAAGAACAGAAATTAAAAAAAAATTCAATGTTCGAAAAAAAAAAGGTGCAAGCCGTATACTGTTCATGTGAACGAGTAAATGGACGAAATTTTTTTAAAAATTCAATGTTTACAAAAAAAAAAAAAGGAAGTCGTTTACTTGTTCAAATGAATAGTAAACGAATGGGGGGCAGATGGTCTAGCCAAAAAAAAGATTAATGAAAAAAAAAAAAACACTATAGCAAATGAACGAGTGATTGACACCGTTTATTGCTACAATGAAAAAGCAT